GCCGCATAACCCAGGCAAAGGTGTCACCTCAGCGTCCCCCGCAGGATCCGCCACAAACCGGGCTGCAGGAGTGCTCAGAGGCCTTCCCCTTCCCCTTCCCCTTCCCCTTCCCTTCCCAATTTATTAACCATGTTCTCCTTCTCAGTAGCCTGCCCTGCACCCAAGTGGCATCTCTCTCCCAAATCCCCACAGGAACTAGAGGCTGCTTCATGCTAGCCCCCAGACAAGTCCTGGGCACATGTGTTGCAGGAAATAAACCCTTTCCCTGCAACCTCTCAGGTTTTTCCAGCCTCCTTTGCAGTTTATGCACTGCCTCCTCTCTGTCTCCTCACAGGGGCAAAACTAGTGGCCCCTGAGGAGTTTGGGGAAGGCATGCAGCCCTTCTTCGTCTCCAATTTGAGAATGGCCTGCCATCATCCCGCACTTGTTTCTGTGGATAGCAGGAATATGCTGGGAATTTAGCAGTCACCAGTAAGGCTACAGGTGAAAATGCAACCTCAAGTGCCTTCAAGGAGCCTAATTGTGTAAAGGCAAGCAAGGGAAGTGAAATAAACTCTTAAGGAGGAAAACAAAACACCTTGCAAAATATGTAGCTAGTGTATTAGTCTGATTCACTGTGAAACCTCTCACACCCCCAATCTTAAGCTAGAAGGTAGGTAGGACTTTACATAGTCTGGAGGTACTTTCTAGGAAACAAGCTGCTAGAGTGAGGGGATTTAAAAGGTCTGTCAGAGCTTAGACTCCTACAAGTGACCAGTTTTAAAGCAGCAGCTCCCTGAAATGGGAATCTTGATCCTACCTGAACTCAGTTCTCATTTCCACGTGCAGTCTGAATGCCTCCAGTAAAGTTGTGGTGGGTGCAGCAGAAAAAGACGTGTGATTTGTTCTCCTTTCCTATCGGCAATTCAGCAGCACTGCAGCGTTTCAGCTCTGAAATATCAACCATGTATGTTTGGAGACGGTGCCTCCTTTGAGAATGGTTCTGTAACTGTCGTATTAAAACACAGGGCTTGTCATGAATCTGAGAGAGAAGAAAACTCCCCAAAAATCCTCTTGGGGTTTTTTAATGCTCATTGGGTGAATTATACAAAAAAGATAAAGGTTTTAAAAAATGCAACTCACAGGGAAGGAATGTTCATCTATTCAAAATTTCCCCTAAGTTTTCTCTACTTTTGCAACTTGGTTATATAAGCTGTCTCGGTAGAAAATCTTCAGGGGCTAGGTTTCAGAATTATTTTTATATAGAAATCGTACCTAGAGCACTCGCAATATGTGAGGTCATGTTAAGTGATTCATGGCTAATCCTTAGGGGTGCATTGGCTGTAGAGCAGTTCCGATTAAAAGTTTCGTTAAATGCTTGAACGGTGGTCTACAAGCAATGTTGAGGGTTGATGGTGCTCTGTGATTAAATTTTTATACTTGTATTCTTTTTTTTTTCTGTTACTATAGAGTGTCTATCAAGTCTTCTGGACATCTGAGATATTTTAAAAGACACTAGTGTCATTATGGACAGGAGAGGGAGAGAGAGAAAGGAGGTTGCTCTGATGCGTGTAGCACATCCCATGAATAAGCAAGGCTGGTGCCTCTGATTCTCCATTGCTTTGCACCTTGCATAATTATTGACATTTGTGTAAAAAAGTTGCAAAATGGTATCATTATCACCAGGGCAATTGCAGGTCAAAGGAATACATGATTACTACCATAGGTCCCACCACTGAGGTTATCTTTTCTCCTGCTAACTTCATCTCAGTTTAACTGTCATAGATTTTCTCCAGCGAAAGACATCAAACAGATTTGGTTTCTAAGATACCAAAAGATACATCTTCAAATCAACATTTTACTGCTCGTGCACAAAAAGCCGCACAAATGAAATTAGTCTTGTGTGAAAATAGCTCTAGCTGTGATTTCTGGGCAAACTGTAGTTTCACCACATTTGTATTAGCGTACTCTTAAAATCAAAATAATCCAGCTATGAAGGAAAGCAGTCGCAACTCTTGGTGTAGTACTGTTTTTTAAAAAATGTCATTAAAACTGCAGGGAAAATCAGATTAATTTATGCAACGTATTTGTGTGCTTGTGATAATCCATCTTAAATTCAAGGAGCAAGCTCTTAACTCTAAGCCTTGTAATACATTAAACTGAAATTCAGAGAATATAATAATTTATTAATAGGATAAAATGATCAGGAAGTATTAAAAGATCTGAATTTTTAATACTCTTATTAGCCTTTGTGCAAGAGATGAATAGTTGTCTTGACGTATTAATAAAATAATACTGCAGACCCTCGCTCTTCGTAAGAGTATATTGTAAACTAACTAGTCAGGATAGGTTGGTTAAAATACAGGATATAAAATACTACTCTGATAGCTGTATTAACTCCCAGAGTATAATTTTTTAAGAGACTGGCAGAAGACAATTTCTAAACAATTCTCAGTGACGACCCATCCACAGATACTCAACAACTGTTAATGGGAACATCCTGTTGCAAAAACAGCCTAAGGCTGGGTAGATGCAAAGCCAAGGGAGATACCTAAAACTTCTTCAGCTGAGTGTGGAGATTTACCCAGAACGTAAATGCAGATTTTAGTTATGTAAAATAACATCTATTTGTTTGATTTGTTATTGCAGTTCTAGAAAGGTTGAAGAGGATGAATATGAAGATGGAACAACTAACCAAAAATGGGTTTTAGCTCCAAAAACACAAGACACAGATGTGACTCTCATACTAAACAAGCTGTTGAGAGAGTATGACAAAAAGCTACGGCCAGATATTGGAAGTAAGTACTCCTTTCTGCACAAGTGAGGAAAAGCATCTATGGGTGCAGAAAAGACACGATGTTATATTTTGGTTAGTGTGCACAAATGGCTGGGAAGTGGAGATTAAGTTTTTTTGGCTGAGGTTCATTTCCAAGTCAATATTTAAAAAATGCTAATTCTCACGGGAAGACGTGGTGGTGCTAAACTCTGGTTTCCTCTTACAGAGCTTGTGTAGAGATATGGAAGGACTAGCTCTAAAGGATTCAGCAGGTCTTTGGCAGAGTTAGGAACATACTTATCTCTTTTGTCATCCAATCCATGCATATGAAAAACTCACTCTCTGAGGAGCGATCAAAACCCCAGCATATTAAAAACAAGAAGTAGGGCACAGCAAGAGAAGAATGTGCATCTACTCCCTTCAAAATGTGATCACGGAAATTATGTTCCTTAATGCTGAGAAGGCACTAGTATTTGCCTGTGTGTAGGGCAACTCTGGAGATTTTCTCCCAAACCAGCAGACGTCTCCAAAAGAAATCTGATAGAATGGAAGTGTCTTGTGGGCAGTACTACCACATGTAGGTATAAAATTTAGATAAGGGCCAGTAAATACCTGCATATAACCATTTTCTTTTCATTTTTTTTTTAATTTGTATAATGAGGTTTTGTGTTTCAAACCAGTATTTTTTTTACCTTTTGTGGTTGTGCCCTGTTTGACTTGTTTGCATCCTTAGATCAGAATGGCTATAGCACGACTGCTGTTCAGTTTTTTCACAGTAAGTTTGTATGACAGAAATCAGAGGCAATTTGTCATTTACATTTACTGCACCTTGCATATACTTCAGAATGAACTGGGAATGCGGAAAGCTCAAAACAACCACCTAATACAATTTGCTTTTCCTAAATTTTTGCAGAGATTGGAGGGAGAATTCCTACCATTGATTATAAGTGAAACTACTGTTTGCTGATGGCACATGTATTGATATACTTACTAGGTGATCCCTTTGGGTGAGTTTAGAGGGAAGCGAGAGCCATCTGTATGTATTCGCCATTACAATTATTAGTGTCTTGTAGCTACACATTAATACAACAGTTCCAGGAAAAAACCTATGCTGTGGTATGAAAGAAAGTTTTTGTGGGTTTTTTTTTTCATAGCTATTACTTTTCCATAGTATTTGCAAAGATCATATTTGATAGATGTGTCTGTTTTTAACACCGAGTGACATTTATCTCTGTCTCTCTACTTACTTTGTCATACTGGATTTAGCTGATCTTTAATATCTGATGGAGAAGTGCTTTAATGCAGTTCCCCACCCATATCAACATCTGGAAGGGAGTGTCAGGCAATTTTTTTTTATTTTACTTTGTACACCGTGTCCTCAGATCACTGACCTCAGACAGACTAAATTATGTTATGCCTATGTGGGGCAAAGTAATCATTCAAAGTCCCCATGTCAGTTGCCATAAAATCAGTAGAGGTCAGACATATCCTACAGCACTGGAAAATCATTGTTGCCAAAATAATTCCTTTTGTCTCTCCAAAAACTTGCATAAATCCTGTTTTAGAGAAAGGACCTAAATTACACAGCTCCTCATATATCGTACCAAACAGAGATTTTACAGTTCTCAACTACATCTATCTATTTCTATCAACCATCTCAGTCCTAGGCCATTTTTCTCTTTGATAGGAATCTGGCTATTTCAGGACTTGAGCTGAGTGTTGTTCAGACGCTAGAGAAGTTAATTCATCCCTGCTTCCTTCACTGGTCTCTCTTCCCTCCTTTCCTACCTTTGATGCAGATAAATAACATTGCCCTTTTGAAGCTGAGGAGCTGCTGCATTTGTCGAGGAGAACATGAGGGGAATGTTAGAGAATCAGGCATTATATCTAACTTCCCTGAACTGCTGGCTGGTGCCTCACACACAAGCACTTCTTCCTTTCCATCTAGGAGAAGGTTGTCCTCCAGACTAGATGGTTGACTTGTCCTGGCAACTGAACTGCGTTCCTGCCCTGAAGGTCCCAGTATTAATACAAATCAGTTAAAGCATTATACATATCAGTTAAAACACTAGGAAAATAAGTAGTGGACCAGGTAACATAGAACATACAATAATATGTTTTAGAATTTGTAGAAAGCATGGAATGAACCAGTGGAGGAAGAGAGAAGTAACTCTCAGAATCAAGCAGAAGTGCAGCCAATAAAAGACGCTGAGGGTTAAATCCAGGACTAACATGCAGTCAGCTGCTCATTAGGGCCTTTACATTTGTGCAGTGCTGCCTGTAAGCAAATTGGCTGCCCCACAGGACAAAGGACACTCACCATTTCATGCCACATCTCTCTTCGCTCGGTTTTCCAATCCTTTATTGCAAAGCCACTATTTCTAACAGCGGGTAACTAGCAATTCTCCTGAAGAAATTATCTTCTCTCTGAATGCAATCAGAAAAGCCTAGGAAAATACTGAATTCTTTGCACTTTCAAAGGTTAGGATAGCAATCTTTAGATCACTTGGGAACACACTTTTGCAAACCAAAGCCCAGGGGGAGAAGGAGAAGGCTGTGGCAAATAGAAGGTATTGAAGTGCATGCTGGCCCAGGCAGTGACTTTTCTGTGGTCTTTCATCCTTCCCAGGGCAGCTGATGTTTTGGCTAGCTCAGGTATGTCCAGGTACTTCCTGGCACTGTACAGGCATATTCTGAGTGCCCACTTGCCATACTACGGGTACTGAGTACTTCAGTAATCACGTCACCTCCAGGTCAGGAATATATCCATCAGTGAATAAACTCCCGTGTACAGACACTCAGCCACCCTCCGTCCTCCTCCCCTGCCCAGCCCATCTAAACCACTGTAAAGAGCATGTAGGTCAATGCTAAGACGCGAAGCCAGGACTTGCTCTTTCCTTTCTTTTTTTCTCCTGCTGGCCTATACTTGGCCTAGGCTTTCATGTAAACGACTGTCAGTCAGATCACATGCTCAATCTACACTCAGCAGTACAGGCATCACCTGCAAGGTTCCAAGCCAGGATTTTGAAAGAGTGGTTTGAACAACCTAAATATTAGGCAAAATAGTTACCCTGTGAAGGCTATCAGCAACCTGACACCTTAACAGGACCCGTCTAGCTAAAAGGGGCCTTTGGTCTTTGGAAACAAAGCAGTGTTCTACCAGCAGGGGAATGTCTGACTGCATCCCTCGTGGCCACACACTTGGCAGAGTTCTTGTCTCCATGAATACCACAGCTTGTGTGGGTTTTCATTTTAATGGTGGCATCTGGCAGTTTTCCATTATACCACAGAACATACATGCCTTTTGGAATTGAAAAAAAAAAAGACAAGAAAGCACCTTACACTGAACAGCTTATACCGGTGTACTGATTAGATCAAAAAGAAAAGTGTTTTATGGAGACAAAGCATCTTTTCCACCCCCTTTTTACCAGCTACAGTTATAGGGCTGAGAATCATGGATCTGCTGCGTGGTATAAAAGGCACCAGTCCCAGATAACAAGTAAACCCATTCTAAACTATGAAGGTCTTAAAATCTCTTCTGTGGGCAGGTACTCGAGTTTGTTTCAAAGTCCTTTGAAGTGAAGACCCGTTCAATGAATATGTAACATTTTCTAAGTGCAGTATGGCTTACTGCCCTGCAGGAGTGATTTTTTTCCCACTATGTCACACTGGCTTAAGTCCTGACATTTAGTAGGACTAAGTTCTGGCCCTGAAATTTTACTTCCTCTTTATTAATAAAATGAGAACAGAAATAATAGAAGAGCCAACAGGCC